ATCAGCCGATCAGGTCGAAGACTGCCAGTGACAACCAGCCATATAGATCCAGCAATTTAGTCTTACCAATACCAATCTAATTCTTTCATAATGAGCGGTAAGCATTCTTAAAAGTTGTGGCGCTATAATTTGCACCATTTCTCTATGATAATTATTCTCGCCCATCCAGCTAGCCAAGCCCGCCATCACTAGTCTCGCCACGCCCCTTTGCTAGCGAAGGGGCGGGGCGAGACTACGCCATTGCATCACTGGCGGCATCAGTAGCATTAGACTTAGTACTATTAACCTGTAGGTCACAAAACTATATAATGATTTAAAACATAATTAGACATAATATAAACGAAGTACCGATGCAAGCTGCACAACCAGAATTACCTGTCATACTATCATATTCGAAGGGTCCAATTAACAGTTTAGTACACACCTAAGATATTTTCTTGCCTGAATTTGCAATGCTGCCAAAAATTCAAGCCCAATATCAGTAGGTATCATTTTCCAGTGACTCAAAGTCTTTGGAATACATTTTCAGATTCTGGCATTATTCATTACAATTATAACAGATGCATGCATGTAACGTGATAGTTGATACTTGAATAAAGCATAAAATATGAGCATAAAATGAGCATAATTGGATTCATTTCAAAGGATAATAGGATGAAATTTGGAGCAGTGCCTAAAAGCATAATAGGCAGAAATTGAAGTATAATTTGCCTAGCCCTATTGCTCTGGCCTGAACCAATATGAATATTTATCATAATTGTATCATGCCTGATTTTATTATAATTATTGTGACTGAGTGTCAGAATCCATGATTTAGACTGATATCACAACTGATTCAGACTAGAATTCATCTTAATTCAGGTTTCAACTTTTGGGTGTGTACACAGAAAATTTTAAGCTAGAGTTGTTGAAGATGTCGTAAATGTACTTAAGTTAACCAAAATTAATTTTTGTTTCTCATTTCTTTAGACCCTGAATCTTCGCTAGTTTCAAGTACGTCTATAAAAAGCCTTTTTAATTAATTTATTTGTATTTATGACCATAATATAGTTAACGAGAGTCTTTCATTCCAGTATGATAAGAAGTCATTGCTAGGAACAGGGGCTAGTAGCACTGTTTACAAGTTAGTATGGTAGCATGGTATTTTATGAGTTGTCTTTACATTCATAGAGGTACTTTTAAAGAGGAAGATGTTGCAGTGAAAAGAATGAAAGAGGAATTATCTGATGAATATAAAGAGCTCTTATTAAATATTAAACATGAAAATATTGTACTGGTACTTTGTATTGTGAGTTATTAATATTACTAATCATCTTGGTGAAGTACTATTATTAGGAAAGTTATCAGGGTTCTGATTATATTGTTCTGGAGCTTTGTTTGGCTTCATTCCATCAAGTTAGTTAACCTCATGATATCATTGGATGTGTTAATACATGTACCTATAGTATTTCAAGGAATTTAAAGAAGTAATGAATAAATTTAATGGATTGACTGTTGTCAAAAAAGACGTGAATCAAGATGCAGTGAGAGGATTGGAGTATTTACATGAACAAAACATTGGTATGTTATAATGTACATGTACATGTGTTACTATTAAGCAATACAGTAAGACACTATAGTGTTAAGTATTCACACTTTCAGTCCATAGAGATATCAAGCCAGGAAATATTCTTTTGGTACAAAAGAGCCCTTTATCTGAAGTTAAAGCAGTTCTGGCTGATTTCGATTTATCTGCAAAATTAGATGATGATCGGTCTTCAAAAACTACATTGAACAAGAGAGGAACTCTATCATGGATGGCTCCTGAACTGTTAGTGGAAGATGGATTAGAGCTTGTAAGTATAATGAATGACATGTAACCTGCAATCACCTCAGCAGTTATAAATGTCACAATTAATTTATTGCATAACAAATTGTCATTTATTTATAGCAATTCAGTCTACAGTCAGATATTTTTTCAATGGGGTGTGTCATATATTTTGCTGAAACTGATGGAAACCATCCTTTTGATACTGGAGATAGTCGTGGTGCCGCTATTCATCTTAATGTCAAAAATTACAATCCATGTGATTTTCATCTACTGAATGGCAAGCCAAAAGCTACTGCTTTAATTTTAAAAATGATAAAGCGTGACAGAGCTTCAAGGTGCATAAGGCTTTTTTAAATTTTACTATTTTTATCATTAATAATAGACCAAGTGCTAGTGAAGTATTAGATGATCCTTATTTCAAGGAAGATGATTCACAAGACACTATACAAGTACTACCACAGCTGACCGATGGAGAGGAAGCACCTCAGGTTGATACACCACAAGATACCAGTGAGGTACAAGATGGGGCCAGTATTCTACTACCAGAGGAGAGTGTATCAGAACATGCAAGTCATGCCAGAATTCACAGTATTCTACTACCAGAGGAGAGTGTATCAGCACATGCAAGTCATGCCAGTATTCCATCACCAGGGCAAAGTGTATCAGCAGATGGAGAAGATTATACCAGTATTCCATCACCAGAGCAGAGTTTATCAGCAGATGGAGAAGATTATATCAGTATTCCACCAGAGCAAAGTGTGACAGATACATCATATAGTATGTACTAACACAGCATTTACTCTCAAGTTGAAGTTATTATTTTTAGGTAAACAGTTGTATGCTGTTATGTTGAATATGTCTCATTCTCTTCCTCGATACATAGTCGATCATTACATCAGATTACTTGCAAATCTTTAATGTGAAATGTGATGTGAAACCTGATTGGTTGTTATCAAAAAGG